CAGAAACCATATATTTGCTCCTAATTGTCCGATTTTAACTTTTTTTATTTGTTTTTTAGGAAATTTCATAAACTTTTAAAAAACCTATTCAATAACAACAAAAAAGTAAAAACTTTTCGAGTTATTCGGAATTTAATTTTAACATCCCTCGTAACTTTTTTTCCAGCTTCTTTTCGTTGAAGTATGTTATATAGATAAATTTAAAGGGCGTCGAGAAAATGACTTAAGGGAAGTTTCATTGAAATCTGTACATTCGTTTAGGAGCTACAGTCTATAGCAACGCAGGTTTTTCGGTCGCCATTTTGAAAGTTAAAGGCGGAGAGTAATGTCGATGAAGGAGGATCATTCTCGGGTGACCTCTGATTTTATATGAAAATTTGAAAAAAATCGGTCCAATAGTTTCGGAGAAAATGCGCGGACGGCGGATGGACAAAAAAATTTTTATTCGTTTTTCGAATTCTACACATCTTAAAACGTGAAACCTCAAATTTTGAGAGGGGGTTATGTTTTTGAATTTTTTGGTCGATCACAATGTTTCATTATTGAAAATAATAAACCAAAATATTATACTAGGCAAATGAGATTAGTGTTTTCCCTAATTACCCAATGCTAAATTTATAGTAAATAGGAAATCAGCAGCTGAGGAAAAGCGGTCGACTATTTAACATTACTTAAACAAATAACAAGCGAAGCCCATTTAGGGCATATTATCCTTAATGCTTTAATAAATAAGCGCAGACGGAGTCGATAATAATAAAATATTCAGAGGGCGTATATTAGCACATTAGATAATGGCCCTATGTTGATGGTGGCCAACTGACAGCGTTTAATTATGGTAAAAGCTTCTTGAGCCAGTGACGGTTAGAGGCACGCCACTAAACCAGCAACCACGCCCAACTTTTTGCGTCCCAGTAAATTATTACAAGTTTACTATATCATATTAAATTATTTCTAACACCTTAGGCGACATTTCCTCAAGTCATAAGCGCTAATTACGAGTCAATATTTATTCATAATCCATTCATGAAAAAAAAATCTTTAAGACATCTAGGTCTCCAAATATGCTTTTATTTTATTATATATATATATATATATATATATATATATATATATATATATATATTTTTTTTTAATTTCTTTATGACATTTACAACTGTATTACATAAATACATCAAGTAAAGTTGGACATAATTGATATAATGACATGAATACACTTGCTGAGTAACTACCCAATGGTAGCACTCTAATGATATGACTATATTAGGAGATAACGGGGCCATCTTCTTTTCAGACGCCTCGGAGGGTTATCAGGAACTGAAGAGGAAGCAAGGTTAGAAACGAGAGGGTTGGGATGATTCTGAAGTTTATTATGGAAGGATAGGTATCTGGACTGGGCCAGATCTGAAAGATAACGAACATTGAGATCTTTATGGATAATTTTATTAGTGACAAAGTAAGGAGCATTGAGGATTTTACGAAGGATTTTGGATTGTAAGGATTGGATGCGAGAGGAATTCGATGGTTTAGTGGAGCCCCATAGCTCAACTCCGTAAGTCCAAATAGGTCTTATTATAGTCAAGTATATGAGTCTTTTGTAATTAATGGGAAGTTTAGAGCGTTTGTCTAGTAAGTGCTGAAGTAATCGGAAACGTCGAGCGGTTTTCTTGTCGTTTCAGTCTAGTATGAGGATTCCAAGTTAGTCCTTTGTCCAGGTGGAGTCCTAGGTATCAAATTTGCTCAACAGGGATAAGTGGAGTATTGTTAAAGGAAACTGTAGGACAGGAAGTCGTTGGCTTAAGACGTTTTATTATATTAAATTTAATTTGAGACATTTGATCAAGTCTGACACCCATGGTGGGGGGAAACAACCTTAAACAACCCCCCGGGGGGAGCGATTCCTATCTTCTACATACTTTATATTTTTTCTAGGCAGGTTAATGTACAGATCTCACAGCCATATATTAGAACTGGCTTTATCATAGCATTATACACCCTTAGTTTGAGATTTCTTGAGATTTTTCGGGATTTCAATACCTTTGAGAAGGAGAAGACAGAGAAATGTTTGCGCTAGTACATAAGCTGGTCTATTTCTGTCTGTTGGTCATTCATTGAGATTATTTTAAATTTATTAATTTAAAAATGTAAATCTCTTTTTTTTATGTGCCAATGTCATAGGAAATCAATATTTATGTAAATATCTTTACTTAAAAATGTTTATGGTATCGATTATCGATATTTCAAGTCCGGTATTTTGGTGGTATCGATAGTTATAAGCCGATATTATTATCCCTGACACTTATTGTTTAGGGAACACATCAAAATTCATATTTAAATTTAATTTGAATTAAATCAAGAAACCACATCACAGCTGTTATCTCGAATATATTGCATATATACCTCAGTTGTTATTGTGATGCCGCCATTACTGAAGCGTAGACGCTCACGTAGCTTGAGAGATTGACTAGACTGGCCAGTTGAAAAATTTGTAATTCCACTGATTTAATAAACACGGAGTAGAAAACTACAGCGGCCGGCAAGGGGCCAAGAAAGGAAGAGAGAGAAGATGAACAAGAAGACTGGCAACTAGAAGAACAGAGAAAATGCAAGTATCCCAACCCATCTATATTTAACCTCCGTATAAAATTACATGTAATAAAATAAAGCAATCAATTTTAAATATTCACTTCTTTACTCCATTAACTCCTCAAATTTTACAGTCCACAGCAATAAATTATCACCAGCTCTTGCAGAATTATTATGACAATATCCCTGACAGCCTTGGAAGGGATTGGCATAGTAAATTAAACAATTATGCTGATGGAACATGTGTGTTATCAGTTAACAATAACCCATCAATCGGTTCCCAAACCCTTCAGTCACACATCACAAACCTTCAAGAATGTGTGGATTAAAATAAACTCGAACAAATCCCATCAAACCTATGACTTCCTGTCCTTGAGTATCCTTTAACAATACTCCACTCATCTCTGTTGAACACATCCTTTAACCAGGACTCCGTCTAGACAAACGTCTAACTTGGAATCATAATACAAAACTGAAACGATAAGAAACTGCTTGACGTTTCCGGCTACTTCAACACTTGCTAGACAAACGATCTAAGTTTCCAATTAATTACAAAAGACTCATATACATGACTATAATAAGAGCTATTTTGACTTAAGCAGTTGAGCGTTGGGGATCCTATCAAATTCCTCTCGTATTTAATTCTGGAAATTCAAAATCCTTCGCAAATTCCTTAATACTTTGCCACAAATAAAATTACCAATAATAAACTTAATTTTCCATACGTTGCCGATTTACCTACCGTTCCATAATAAACTTCAGGCCCGCCCAAAACCACTAGTTTATAACCTTGCATCCTCTTCGATTCCTCACAACCCTCTTAGGCCACTGAAAAGAAGATTGCTTTGGGACCTCCCAATATAGAACTATAATTAGAGCGCATTGAGTCGATTCTCGTCAAGTTGGTAAATATCACAATTATACATATTATACAATACATGTTAGCCTGTAATAATTTACACACATTATCCAGATTTATTGTGCCTTCAAAGAAATAAAACAATGTCTCGAGTATATGATCAATGATTTGCTTTAAAAATTATATTTTTTCCTATAAATGTAGATGAACAATCTCATATTTGTTTTAAAGCACGCTAGTTTAAAATTGAATTAAACTATAAATAACATTTTTTATTTTAATTTATAGAAAATCAAGTGGCATATTTAGTTATTTCCGTTGTTCAGCAGATTATAGTATTGATTTATAATAAAAATGTTTTCGATATACTGACACAATATAAAATCGAGAAGCCATAAAGTGCAAGATCTCCAGTAAAAATAAGAGGAATCGATCAAGTCCCTCTAAGCCACTTTCCGTCACACACCAGGAGATAACTTAGAGGGGGTGTGATAGGACTTATCTCAAAGTTGATAAGTTTCTCGCGCCGAGATCCTTCTCAAAAGATGATCCTTTCAATTTAGGAATATTTCCACGCCGCTAAGTCAATATAATGTCTCGTCTTGGTCGAATGATTTTATATTATAAACCAGATATGTTAATAGTGTTTTTTAAAAAAACTATTATTTTCATGTTTTTCGTTTTGATATTTTTTATATCTAGTTTTTTTTTAATATCACTTATCAGTATATTACAATAATATACTAGTATTTTAGACTCTCTTGGTCTCCACTGGATTCCCATCCTAGTGATGCGGCTGAGAGAGAAGCGCTGGGATCTCTTGGAGTCTTGCCTTATCCTCCACACGTGAGGAAAAGGCCCGACTCGGAGCTCCCTCGGCTGACTGTAAATATTGTAAATAAGTATGAATGTGTTTTTATTTATTTATTTTTTTTTTATTTAATGTTGCGTAATGTTTGATTCATTCTGTTATTTTAAATTTTCTTTTCTTTTGTTATAATCTTGCTTCTTTTATTGTATATAAGGTATGTTTGTGTTTAATTCATCCTAAATACTCAATGCCCTTAATTGATGCAAAATGTTGTTTTTTCCCCTCAATAAAATATTATTAGTAAAAAAAAAGAAAGTATTTTAGAGCATGAAATCTATCTAAAAAAAAATTATAATAGTGGAGAAATAGTTGGCTGTATGGTTGAGATGTTGTTTGAGGGTTGCAGAAGTAAAGAAAAATCAATCTAAAACTAAAAAAATATATCAACATTTCGTCCTAAGTTCCAGGGCTTCATCATGGCTGAGGGAAGATAAGATATAAAAAAAAAAAAACATATTAAAAAGAAAATAATAATTCGGCTGATTGGGCGTAATTATTTACTCTGATATATAAATCGTTAATAGACTCAGGGGTCAGGAAACCCTCCTGGGGCATGCCCAGTTGAGCGTGATCCCATTTCCCTGCACAACCTCCTGCCTTGAAACTGTTTTTCTTTACCCTCAATACACGGTATACAAGTTATCTGATGAATATAAATAAAAATATATATATTCATAACTAACATACCTAGAAAGATAGTGCGGTGATTTCTTGTTGATGACTTTGAGGAGGGCGTTGTTCGGACCAGGCTCCGTCGGGAAGTAAGTGGCCCCGTAGAAGTCGAGCCCGTTCTGGAGCAGGTTGTGGCACTCGTCTAGGGAAGCCAAGGTGATCCTGACTAAAGGAGGGGAGTAGCCACCACTCTCCGATTTACTAGGAGTCGAGGAAACTCCACCTGTAAACATAAATGGCACAAAGCTTGTTTAGAACCAGAAATCCAAGTACGTAAACTTAGGAGCAATACTTAGAAGTTACAAAAAAAAAAATATATATAAGTTTTGTTTATATTCAAAAATTGTTAAAATACTGAGAACTAAAATAAATTAATAGACAGAATGATACATGTGTGTTATCAGTTAACAATAACCCATCAATTGCTTCCCAATCACTTCAGTCACATATCACAAACCTTGAAGAATGGTTCCGAAATTGGAGGATTAAAATAAACTCGAATAATTAGAATTAGAATGGATACGTGAAGAGTTAGTAGGTAATGTTTCATAATACCCGACCTTGATTCAAGTTTAAAAAATATTTCATCCTTGGGTAGACTCACGACTCAGGAGACCCTCCTAGGTCACACACAGCCTCTATAGTGCGTCCATCCTTCGTTGAGCACGAATGTTGCGGATATAATTTATATCCTTTTATAGCTGTCGGTCTCGATTAACTGACAGGTGGAATTGGACCCAGACTTATCAGAAACTGGCCGAAGAACCAACTCCTCAACATGCTCGGTCATCACGTCCTAACAGTTGAGGATAAGAGACAATTATATCAAAATATGTAAGCAATATTGCATGACAACGCCACTTCTATATCCCTCAACTTTAAGCGGACCAAACACGGTCATTCGGAACGACAGTCAAAGTGATGATTGGCAATCTGACTGATCGTTTAAGGTTATGATTGATAAATTGATTGTTCTGACGGATTTCCAGAAACTCGAGCTTCAATGACGAGAAGTTAAAAAGAGATTAACCGCCAATATTTTGGCAGGCAATCTTTTACAGTATCTAAACGTTCTAGGTACTTCTTTCGGTCTTGTTAGTCTCCTTCTGGAGACGTCTGGCAGCCATGGCTTCCTCTACATCTTGTAAAACTCTTCCTCGGTTGTCTTCTTTTTTGCCTTCTAATCTGTTTGAAAGAATAATTTACCATCGCTCCCCTGACATTCTTTATTATTTTTAGTAAATGGCTAGGATTGTTTTTTCTTGTTTTACCTATTGCCTAATCGCTTTGTTGGGAGCATACTGGAGTCTGAAAATGGCAGAATAACGTCTCCAGAGGGCCGTCCCTTATATTACCAACTTCTTCTCTTCTTTTATGGTAATTATCTACGTATCAGGTGTATATAGCCTGACGATTTCCAAGTTGTAATAACACTTTTTTTTTCTATGATCATTTACTAATATGATTGTCCTACTATAAAGAATTCAGAATTCCAATTATCCGACTTCCTCTTATAATGTTTTCCATTATTTCCTTTTAGGAGCTCTTCACGTTAACTCTTGTGTGTGATCTTTCTTAGTTATTTCCTTTTCTTGCCAGTATGTTACATAGTTGACCTATATTTCTAATTTTTATTCAAAATATTGTTGTCTGTTACGAAGCAATTTATATTTTTTTGTTTTTTTCATGCTTTTGAATACTAGAATATGGCCAAATAAACCAATCTGTACTGTCTGCTGTGTGAATGTCATCTGAAATAAAATGACGTCAGTCAGACTGACACGCGTGGAACATTCGTGATTGAAGCCATTCTGGCCATTTAGGAGCCATTTTAGAATCCATCCTCCACAATTTAGATGTATTCTATAAAGTTCTCGAGATTTTAGGGTTTAAGTCATAGAAAAAAACACAACTTTTTGTTAAGTAAATTAAAGTATTGTGTGGTTCAATCTTTTAGAACATAAATACGATATCATTCAAATTTTGATGGATGATAAACGAACTATTTTATTATAGTATTATGTTTTTATTGCGTTATAGCGAAATCATTAATAAAATAATATCTCGTTTGTACAGATATTTTTAATTATACTAAACAAAAGGCCCATTCGGTTTAACTCGGGACTTCGTCACTTGGTCTATTTACCTCTCCATTGCTCGAAACGATATCGTGAATTGGTTCAGTTAAGGACGTGTCAGTTTATTATCAAGTTAACTTAATTACCGAAAGCACTGTATCCAGGATATCACACGAAAATCGCTTTATTATTCTATCTATATATTGTTAATTCTTTTGTTTCTGCCCTAAAGAATTTACAAATATAACCGACTCATAGGCGTCGATGACCTTAAGGATTTCACGCCTTAAAGCCTAAACAAAACTAAGAAACACGAGAATCGTAAGGGATATTTTTGTTTTCTACAATCTCATGGACTTTATCTAAACATTGGTAGAATTTCACAGTAGCATTGTAAAATTATAAAATAATGGTTAATTTATAAATATTTATGAAAAGAAAAGGAAATAATTAAGAAAGATCACACACATGAGTTAACGTTAACTGAAGAGCTCCTAAACGGAAATTATGGAAAACATTATAAGAGGAAGTCGGATAATTGGAATCCAGAATTCTTTGCAGTAGGAAAATCATATTAGCCAATGTACATAGAGAAAAAAAAGTGTTATTACAACTTGGAAATCGTCAGGCTATATACATCTGAAACGTAGATAATTACCATAAAAGAAGAGAGGAAGTTGGTAATATAAGGGAATATAAGACCTTTGGATACGTTATTGTGCCATTTTCAGACTCCAGTATGCTCCCAACAAAGCGATTAGGCAATACGTACAACAAGAAAAAACAATCCTTAATTATGCTTATCAACTACGAACAATTATCAATTATGAAAAAAAGTTCTTCATGTTTCTAAAACGAACTCAGTGAATCCACACACTTGTTAAGAGCTTGACAGACGCATATGAATCATGGCGGATAAAGGGGGAGGGTGAAAAACTGAACTCACTTCCACTTTCAAGTTAAAAATTTAACGGACCGTTGAAGCATTATCATCATTTGGTAAAAAAAGGACTATTTCATTTAATGAAGCAATCCTTGGAGAACAGTGCTGAAGCATTAAAGATATCTTTCTATTATCCCTTCTTTCGTTTCTTACTGGAATTTATCAACCATTCACAGAACTCTTATCCTTCCGCCTGGTTGACTGTAATTCACCAATTTACAAACTCTTAATAAATAGATATTTTGTTGGCACAACTAATAAATTAATGTTAGAAAATTATGACCGAGGGGTAAAATGATTAGGTTAATATTGAAAGATTCCAAAAACCAGTAGTCTCTCGAGAATATGTAAATGAATAAACGGAACAAATCGCCAACTCTAGGAATCAAAACTGAAATCATATCATAACTGTAAAATAGAGGAATTTGTCTTTCATTCCCCAAAATACACCTTTCCTGTTATACTGTCTTGATTTCCCCCATAATCACTCTGGATGCTTATTGTACTAATTTAGTCGCTTATTATAGCCATGATTGGCCATCTATTAAAACTGAATAGTTAGAGAATAATTAAACATGAAAATAACGAAAAACGCTCTGAAATAATCTGTAGAATACATTTCTCTTTATAAAATACTAATTAATTTTTAAAATATCTGTATACAGGTGTCTAGAGTTCTCATCATCGATTGGTCATAAATTTTTAAGTTATAATATGGTATAATGATTGAATTATTATTGGATTGTATTAATTAACATATGTTAATACAATAATTTAATTTTCTATTTTTGTATTTTTTTTTCAAAACTTTATCCATTTTGAAAGTTCAATATTTTGCTTCCTGGGTTTAGGTAAAAAAATTTATACAAACTTTTTGGATGAATTAAAGTTATTAAAGATTGAATATAATCATTTTTTATCTATGTCGCTTTAAAAAGATGATATTACCGTATACCAAAAAAACTCAAACCAAAAAATTTCAATGGTTTATGGAGTACTGCAGCGAACCCACAAGGCTTTCGAGGGAGAAAACTTTAATTTTTTATATTCACTACATACCTAACTACATAAAAAAAAAATTTGAATTACTCGATCGCCTCACAAATTTACGGTTATGCAAAAAAGATGCACTCACAAAAACTACAGACATTTCATTCCAAAATTTTACAACTTATAACAGGAGCTGCTTGGTCTGTCAACAACAAAACTTTACATAACGACTTACGACAACCAACTATTGAACAACACATACGTGATCTCTACTCCAGATTTCGTCTTAAACTACACGGACTTATTAACGACATGGCCACTGCTGACATGCTTATCAGGAGACGACTAAAAAGGAGCAGGATGAGAAATCTCTTTTCCTGAATTAAGGAAATAAATCAAGACAAGGAAGAAGTGCTGCTGGGTACTATTTTTTTTTCCCTCATGCTTAAAATGTCTATATTTCTTATTAGTTATAGCACATCTGCTTATTGTCAAGCTCATGACAGGTGTGGATGAAAATATGAAGACAAAAAAAAAAAATTCTAATAATGCAGGTACTGGCGAATCTTTTGTATATTATAAATGTATATGAATCCTTGTTATTAGAACTGTAAACCCTAAATTAGCCACTGTTAAAATAATTAGAGAAAATTCAATATTCGTTGCTACTGCGAGCGATTTGCCAATTATGACAACGTTAGTTGATTATATTTTCAGACCTCGTACTGCTCAGCGAGCGCCGATAGCATACACTACGCTGTTTACCTTTCATCGTGATTCAGACCGACTAATCCCATTGGTGACAAGCGAACCACCAATCCCACTCCACCGGAGCGTGGCCATGAGCCATCTGACCAATCAGGCGTTGACGATAACTTAAAGCTTAATTAGCGGCCGGCATTGGTCCCATTTACTGGCCAATGGCCGTTGCCCTTCTATCTCCTGTTGCGTGGATTAATTTATATCACCACGCTCTGTTGTGTTCTGCTGTCCCGCGTTATGGCTCTGGTCATAGAGCATATCTGTATCTGTTTGCCGTTCGAAAAGCCGGTTAGCAATGAATCCTGCAAGTACGAAATTCACTCATTGGTCGTTATATCCCAGTTCACATTTATAATTAATGGGTAAAGGAATTATTAAATACTAGTAGGTCCGTGCGAAAAATTCTCACACCATATTGTTAAGTTATCAAATTTCAAATTAATATGAAAA